ACCTTTAGTTTGAGGCTTCCACGTGATCTAACCGGGTCACCCTATATCCTGACATTAATGGCCATAAATGAATGATAAACGGGTTTCGGAAAGAACACTTAACTTGAATTGTAGACATCGTGTTGGAGATGGTACCTTTGGTTTCCATAACACTACGTCCAAGTAAAATTAACAGGAGCCGAATTTGCTCCCGTGTGAGCCTCTGGTCTCGTATCAACAATGGCTGTTTAACACTCCATACTATTGACGTTACTGGCCGACATTGTCCAGATATGATAGGAGCTAAATTTGCTCCACACGTCTCGGAGGTGACACAACAATGGCTCCCTCCTTCCTCCCGACGCCTGGCCTACTTTGTCCAGATGTCAATAAGTGATAGAAGGGTCACATTTACTCTACTTTAACATTGATAATTAAGTTAATTTATATAAGATGTTTTATGATGGTAAAGTCCAAAGACTAATGTATTTAAGAATAATTCCCAGCAGAATAGCTGGTGAATTATAATAGTATGTGGTGATGATATCCCGTTTTCTTTAGACGGTAATTCCACTACAAGTTACGTTTTCTATGGGTAACTTGTTTATACAACACAGCTATTATCTGTATGATTATTAAATGGTGTCGGATTTTCCGACACCACACTTTTAATAAACATCACCAGCCCTAAAAGAAAATACATTTGGACCAACTCACTATCCATTACTTTCGAACAATTGAAAACTTTGTTGTGTACTAACCCTATACTCGCCTCTCCAGATGTGAAACAACCTTTCATCCTTAATATTGATGCCAGCAGCACCGGCATTGGGGGTGTCCTGATGCAGCTAAGAGAGGGAGAAGTACTACCAGTCAGCTACTACATCTACAAGCTGAAGCCTCACCAACAAAACTACAGAACTATAGAGAAGGAGCTACTCGCTATCGTCCTATGCTTGCAACGATATGAACCTTACCTTCAAGGACACCAACCCATCACCATTTATTTTGATCATAATCCTGTTCGTTTTCTACAACAAGCCCAATTCTCCAACCAGCGTCTACTTCGTTGGGCCTTGTACCTACAAAACTACAACGTACAGATCTCCTACATCAAAAGATCCGACAACACAGTTGCGGACGCACTATCACGTGTTCATGAAGTGGAACCTTCTGCTTCCACACTCCTGCCAGCATCAACATCTCAGGCATTAGGAAAAGGCTTCGGGGAGGAGCTGTCTCGTGAATCCCCCGCATAGTAGTGGAACTGCCATTTCCTTCACTTTCAATGCCTCTACACTGGAAATCTACACCAGCTCAGATGAGTCACCAGTCCTGCCACCTCTCCATACCCCCCAGGGCCTGGCACGGCCTGGTACGACTCAGAGGCAAGCCGGGCGCCTCTGCTAACCGGTAGTTTGCCCCCACACACACTAGCAGTTAGCCGCCTTCAACTGACAGTGGTGCAGCTCAACACAAAGGCATCGCCAGCCAAAACGAGCAGTTTGCTAGTTGACCAGATGTCTACCTCGCGTTGACACTGGATGAGTCATCACCACTGGACTATATAAAGGGCGCTGCCTCCCTGGAGAGCCACACATGAGACATCTCCCGTCACGCAGGGTGCAGTCGCACCTCCACAGATCTCTAGTATCATCTAATGATACTGGTAATGGCTCAAAAGGGCCACCACTAATGGGCTATTCATGCCCATGCCACCTTTTGGGTGGCTTAATCTTCATCAATCAATCATCTGGAGAGCCAGTCTCTCCCTTAGTGCTCTTGGATCACCTTTGTGTCTCTCACCCGTCGTCCACCTTCAGCCACCGTTGTGTGATTGATACCATGATGGTATGGTATCTGTCTTCAGTACACCAGTCTCCCTCACATAATAACTTTGCCGTTTTGCTTTTTTCGACGGCCCCAACTTGGCCCGGGTGTTTTTTTCTTTACCCCAGTGAGATTTGACGGCCCCAACTTGGCCCGGGTGTTTTTTTCGTTACCTCAGTGAGATTTGACGGCCCCGACTAGGCCCGGGTGTTTTTTCGTTACCTCGGTGAGATTTGACGGCCCCAACTTGGCACGGGTGTTTTTTTCGTTACCTCAATGAGATTTGACGGCCCCAACTTGGCCCGGGTGTTTTTTTCGTTACCCCAGTGAGATTTGACGGCCCCAACTTGGCCCGGGTGTTTTTAGTTACCCCAGTGAGATTTGACGGCCCCAACTTGGCCCGGGTATTTTCGTTACCCCAGCGAGGTAAATCTATTAAATCTATGTTGTGTCTTTCAAATGGCTGAGTAGCTTTAATCAAATGCCCAGAGTCAAACTTGCAAAACCGAGGTTTAAGTTCAGAGCATGCAGAGCAGGAAGCTTAGCAGCAAGCTAAGTTAATTATGAGGAGTTGTGGTCCAGTGTAGTGTAGCAAGCTAAGTTAATTAGGAGGAGTTGAGGTCCAGTGTAGTGCAGCAAGCTAAGGTAATTATGAGGAGTTGAGGTCCAGTGTAGTGCAGTAAGCTAAGGTAATTATGAGAAGTTGAGGTCCATGGTAGTGCAGCAAGTTAAGATAATTATGAGTTGAGGTCCAGTGTTGTGTAGAAAGCTAAGGAAATTATGAGGAATTAAGGTCCAGTGTAGTGCAGCAAGCTAAGGTAATTATGTGGCATTGAGGTCCAGTGTAATGTAGGAAGCTAAGGTAATTATGAGTAGTTGAGGTCGAGTGTAGTGCAGCAAGCTAAGGTAGTTATGTGGAATTGAGGTCCAGTGTAGTGCAGGAAGCTGAGGTAATTATGCAACCTGTCCTCTTAAAAATATCGTCAACATTTGCCTTTTGACTGTACGACTGTTTTTGGACGTTATTTTCTGTAGAATTACGTCTATTCTCCCTTCCAGGGGCTATCTTTAATTATACAATAAAATACCACGTTCTTATTATTCTATAACTCACTGACTATGCTCTGATATTTGTTCTTCAAGTAAAAATATATATGTTTTTGCCTTAATTAGGCCATAATCCAGAAAATTCCAGCCTATCGATCTTTATATTTAGGAAAACATCTAATAAATTTGGAAACAAATTTTTTGTTCGCTGACAGTTGCCTTTTACTATTTAACCCATTATGCTTTAATGTCGCTGGTCATTGTGACTTTCCCAGGATTTATATAGGTTTTGTAGTAGCATTTAGTCAGACTACAGTAATTTAACTAATGGGAAACCTCTATAGTCGTCATAAATTAATAATAATCATTTATCAAATAATAAATTAGCAAACATATATAACTTTTTATGTTACGACTTTTCGGGTAGGCCGTTCTGTTTCTTTACAACCTCAATGGTTCAAAAAACACAATACTTTTAATATATAAGTGACTAAGTATGCTCTAATATATGATCTTCAATGAAAATTATCGTTTTTTTTTTTAATTTGTCCATAATGAATAAGATTCCTTACTGTTGATCTTTATATTAAGAAAAACATCTAAACAAATTGGTATTGTATTTTCGTTCAGATAAAGTTTCCAGTTACTATTTCCTAGTTATCATTTAATGTAGTTGGTTATTATTTTACTGTTATGTATAATGAAATTTAGCATTATGCATTTCTAATACAGAACAATTTGGTGGTTCAACTGCCTCATAATTATGTAAACGACATTGTGACAAATACTTGATAATTAAAAATCAAGATTTTTTTGACAACTATAAAATCCTGTTCAAATCATACCATTTGGAGTTGTCGTACGCTTCTTAGTAAATAATATTAGTAATGTTTGGCACCATTTATCACTGTATATACAAACTGTTTAGGTATTAATGTATTCTAAAGTTTGTTTGTTTTTTAAATGTGTACTATGTTACCTCATCCTAAACTTCTTTTGGAACGTTTATATCAGATATAAGTAATTGGCCACTTTCGCGAAACGGCGTTTGAAAAAAAAAACTTTGCCCAACTGAAATGAGCGTTTCGGCGATCGAGCGGCAACATATAAAAGTGTATACTCTTTTGACTGTCCTGACGTTAACTTTTTGATGTACGTATTTCAATTTTGTACCGATGTATTCGCAATAGAATGTTCTAGGAGAACATAAGTATAAAATGTCACCAAAACATAAGTTAGATCAGCGCCAAATAAAAAACTACGTGGATGACTAGCCGTGAGCACCAGACTGCAACGAAATGTTTCTACTATCTTCAGGGTTGTCAACTCCACACTTGTCCTACAGGGTTAATTTTGATATCACTGAAATCGCAATAAAATGCTCTACACGGTCATATGCATATAAATATAGAATCAATGTCGCAACCGACCCAGAAGAGTGTGGGAAGTGGCCAAAGTGTTACCCGCGGCGGCATTTCGGCGAAACCTGCATTGAAAAGTGTATATTCAATTCACTGTCCTGACATTATTTTTCGATGTACGTATTTCATTTTTGTACCAATGTGTTCGCAATAGAATGTTCTAGAAGAACATATGTATAAAACGTCACATAAGGATGCGTTTGACCGGCAACAAATATAAAAACTTCGTCGATCATACTCGTCGTGTCAATAATAAAATTGTTTTACCACGATGATTCCCTGCCATGCCGTTCTCCCAAATAAGCTTTTCGGCTATTAGAGAGAACGTAAATTTCATGGCAAACATTTCTAAACTATCCCCAAGTAGATCGGATTGAAATAGGAATTTATACAAATATTTATTCGCGTGACTCCCAACAGTCAGCTTTACGGAACCGCACAAAACTTAGTGACGCACTCGCGCGCCACTGAGTGGTGAAAGTGTTAATTAAAATAGTTAATTAAGTAACGTTTAAACGTTCTTTTAGTGTAAATAACGGAAGAAAATGTAAGACATAGTCTACATATCTCTTTCCAAATATCTTTTAATTTTTTTCCCCTAAAGAAAAATAAGATTTTGCCAATTTTGCTTAACAAGTACATTAATTATTAACTTTTTGTCGTTATTATTATTATTATTATAATTAAAAGAATTACACCTTGTGTTTGTTTGTGTACAAAACATGGTGTAATAACCAGTTCGTTGCTCCTAAATCAACACAACATAACCAGTTTGCTGATGTCGTTGCCCCTAAGTCAATAAAAACAACCAGTGTACTATCGTAAATATTCATAGCTTAGGATTTCTTATTCTTAGGTTAGTCATTCTTATGCTCTGTTGTTTTAGGTTAGGTTAGATTATGATATAACCTTCGTATGCTGTATACGAACAGATCGACTGGGCAACAACAGCAAGGTTCTGACCATATCAGTGGCTAATGTGGATTGTTGCTTTACTATACATCAGTGCTGCAATTATTCAGGTAATATTTAACTACTACTAATTGTTAATAGTTTGACAGTATTGCAGTAAGTTAGGGAATGTCAGAAGAGTAGTCACTGGGCAACAAAATGGATACACGTTGACCAGTCCAGCTTTTGAGTAGGTAAAAGATCACGAGTTATGCCCGAAACGGTATGCGTGCTAGGGGTTTTACAAGATTGTAAAATTATCATTATTCCTATGTTCTCTCTTAATCCCCAGTCTACCTTCTTGTTTATAATTAAATAACCAGGGTTTTTGATGCGGCTGTGCTGAAAGTCTGACAAAATAAATCATTGTGTCAGGGAAGAGGAAGCTACAAGTTAGGCTTATATTGAGGTTCCCCCCTCCCCTCTCCCCCCCAAATTACTGGTGGAGTAAATCAGCCTAGCCTACTTCTTCCTAGCATAACCTAGCCAACACTATCCAAGCCTAGTCTACCCTTGTCTAGCCTAGCAAACAGCCCTTGGCCCCCTACTGTTATGACTGCTCTCTGATTGTACCTATGACACCTCTACTCCTCACTGTTGCGATTATTAATTTCCTTCTGTATTTTTAGCTCCAGTATGTTGTTATATTATGCTGTGCAAATTTGGTACCTGACCCTCCAGTATCTTCCATATATTTATTATTTGATACCATTCTTGTCTCCTATCCAGAGAGTACAATTTTGAGAGCTTTGAGACGGTCTCAATTATTTAGATGTTTTATCATTTCTATGCTTGCTGTTTATGGTCTCTTTATTCCCTCTAATTCAGAGATCTCTCCTGTTCAGAAAGGGGGAGTGAGTACCGAGCAATACTCAAGATAGGACAGCACCAGTTATTTAAATAGTATTAGCATTACTGTGGGTGGGGTCTCTGAATTTTAAGGTTCTCATAAACCATCCCATTATTTTTCTGGCCGCCACTATATTTGCGCAGTTATCTTCACAAAATGTCAAGTCGTCAGACATCGTAATTCTCAGATCTCTTGCATGTTTTTTCCTTCTATGAGTAGGTCTGATTGTGTCCTGTACTCCTTGTTTCATTTAATTTCTTCGTTTCCACCATACTTCATCACCTGTAAATTATCACTGTTAAACATCATGTTATTTATGTTTTTTCAATGTCTCCTACAGTGGCAATTTTCATGTCTTCTGTATCATCTGTAAAATTTCATTGTACTAATTTCAGTTATATTTTGCTTGTATTTTCACATGTATTAATTTTATTTTTATCGCAGTTTAATTACTGAAAAAAACGCAAAGAAGTTAATATGTAAACAAAAAAGTGCTTATGAGATTTGCATGTCACAACTCTCATTTGCAGTTTTTGAATGGAGGTTCAGGTATGCATCCTACCTTGTTCTTGTACTTTACATAATTAATCTAAACGGATTCTATTTTATGCCTGGTATTAAATAATTCTGTACTATTTAGGTAAATTTGACACCAGCCCAACATCAGTTTCAACCAGTGATATTGTTTCTCATGCGGTGGAATATCTGAGAGAACATTGCAACAGTGGATTCCAATAATCCAAGTAAGTTTTATTATAATTAGGATTAGGTTTTCTTTATCACGGTACTATATTTTATTCATATTGCATACTTTATGATAGCCCAAATTATCAAAATTTTCAGGAAAAAAAATTTCAAGAAATTTTTCAAATTTCAAATTTATAATTTTCTTTCATGCATTACAGTTAACAGTAATATTAAAATTAACATCAGAGCCTGACGGCCGAGTGGACAGCGCTCTGGGTTTGTAGTCCTAAGGGTCGGGGTTCTATCCCTAGAAGAGGCTGAAACAAAGGGCCAGTTTCTTTTGCCCTGATGCACCTATTCACCTAACAGTAAATAGGAAATTGGGAGTTAGACAGCTGCTATGGGCTGCCTCCTGGGAATGTGTGTGTTGAAATTCGGATTAAGGACTTGCTCAAAAAGTTATGCATGCTAGTGTCTGTTCAAGAATGTAAGAAAATACATATATATATATATATATATATATATATATATATATATATATATATATATATATATATATATATATATATATATTATTAAATATGACCGAAAAAGTAAGATTAATAATTCTAACACGAATTTTCTCAATCTTTCGTACATTTCTTTTCACTGTTGGTGGTAATTCAAAAATCAATTCTCCAAAATTCATTTGTTCGTTTCCTTAGTGTAGACTACACTAAGGAAACGAACATAGGAATGTGCCTAAATGCCAAAAGCGACTGCCCAGATAGGTACAAGAGGAGTGTTGTTAACGCATATGTCGACCGTGCTCTCAGCCACAGCTCAGAATGGAAGCAAGTCGACGAAGAACTCTGTAGGGTAAGGCAGGTCCCAGTCAACAACGGCTTCTCCAATGGTTTCGTCGAAGACATCATAAGAAGGAAAGTGAAACGCCATGCAACCTCTGAAGAGACAACCAACACAACACCTATACCCCCTATTAGACTATTTTACAGGAACTTCTTTTCCACAGCTCATAAAACGGAGGAAAGGGTCCTGAAAGATATTGTTAATAGAAACGTTATCCCTACAGACAAAAATCAGAGGATACAACTGACGATTTACTATAAAACCAGAAAAACAGCCAACCTACTCATGAGAAACTCTCCAGACACAAAACAGAACGCTTTAAAAGAGACTAACGTCGTCTATGCCTTCAAATGCCCTCTTGGGGACTGTAAGCTCCAAAAAAAACAGTATATAGGCAAGACAACAACATCTCTTTCTAGGCGTTTAACGATGCATAAGCAACAGGGCTCCATTAAGGAACATATAATCTCTTCCCACAACCAAACCATCGCCAGAGAAATCCTAGTAAACAACACAGAAATCATCGATAGATACAGCAATAGCAGGCGGCTTGACGTTTGCGAGGCATTACACATCAAGAAGTCAACACCAGCAATCAACAGCTAATTAATGCACAACTATATTCTACCCACCTCAAGACTCCGCTCCAATATAGAAGCATCAAGAAATATGGACCAATAGGCTTTCTACAATCACTTCTATTCAATACCCATTGTTTCATGTTCTGGCTTGTGTTGATGAAATTAATACCTTATTAAATACCACCTCACCCCATCCTCCTCACTCAAATGTAGATATAAACAAAATCGGAGATGTGTAAGTTCTATTCAGTTGTGTATGTGTTAACTAAAGTCTTTGAAAATGTAATAAGTTTTACGAAACGCGCTCAAGTGTCGCGTCAGACTAGAAATAAAAATGAATTTTGGAGAATTGATTTTTGAATTACCACCAACAGTGAAAAGAAATGTACGAAAGATTGAGAAAATTCGTGTTAGAATTATTAATTTTACTTTTTCGGTCATATTTAATAATATATGTCTACAGGAAAGACTGCTACCAAAATATACTAATATATATATATATATATATATATATATATATATATATATATATATATATATATATATATATATATATATATATATATATTTATGATCGATGTTCCCTTCCGGAATCTTAATTTTAAGATGAATAGGAAAACCAGGGATATACTGAACATCTTGTTTCAGATTCTTTACTTTAAAATGCATAACATTTCGAATACTTCTCATATTCATCATCAGATCTAAAATAAAAAAAAAACAGAAATCACTATCAAATAACTGGTAAACAAAGAACTCATACTGAATACAATTGCCTATCAAAGAAAGGTAAATGATTAGCCGGTTTAGATTATTAGTTTACCACTACACCAGTCTCCGTGGTGTAGTGGTAAGACACTCGCCTGGCGTTCAGCGAACGCTTTGTCATGGGTTTGTATCTTGGCTGGGGAGGATTTACTGGGCGCAAATCGTTAACTGTAGCCTCTGTTTAACTGAACAAAATAATGGGTACTTGGTTGTAACAACGATTCTTCGCGGCGGGGATCGTATTCCAGGGACCTGCCCGAAACGCTATGCGTACTAGTGGCTGTTCAAGAATGTAATAACTCTTGTATATATCCCAATTAAAAAACAAAACACTTAAGCTTACTTAAAGTGATCAATACAAATAAAACTTATTAACTGTCACATATATTAAAGCTAATTCAAAAACCCATTAAATTACAAGAGGAATTTTATAACTACTAAAACAAACCATACTATTAAACTTACGCAAAGTGATCAACAGGAGTGAAACTTGATAGTTAACGCAAAGATACTAAACACTATTACAAATATTCATATAATGACTACAATTCTATAAAAAATATATATAAAATGCAAGCAGAATAAGCGACAATTATAAAGTACTAACTAAAATCTTATAAAAAACTCTAATATTAAAAAAATCTAAATACCAAAAAATGTATTATATATCCTAAATAAAAAGAATTTACAAATGTACAATGTCAAGACTTAAAATAAATAAGAAAAGGCAAAGACATGGTAAACTAAACAAAATTATAATAAAATTAAACTGACAGAATGAACTATAAATCAAATTACAGGTCCTACTGTGCACTATACAGTGTACACGTGAACAGCCGAAAGGTTGCTATTTAACAGAGACCGCAGCTCCTTTATATATAAGGATTCCATTACTCTCAAATCTGACTGGCCATTCATACAAGTGTTCAGAATTTTTAAATCAGATTCCAGCAGAGAATGATTAAACTCATAACAATGGTTTCTAATCTCCGAAAATACTGGTTTAGACAATGGTAATCCAGTCCTAAAAGATACTCCCCGGTGCTCAAGTATCCTAATCTTAAAGTTCCGAATGGAACTTCCAATACATCCAGCATTACAGCTAGAACAATTATACATATATACGACATTAGAGTACAGGGGGGCGGGGGGTTAGGCACTTTATCTTTAAATTTAAAATAAGAGCCTATGGTATTTGTGTTGGCAAAAAAAAAATCTAAAGTCTACTTGAGGATAACAATGCTGTAACAGTTTCCTCGAACGACTCAAGTGAATATAATTCTTAGTTATTAAGATTGTTTGACTTTGACATTTCTGAAAAGCAGAAGCGGGTAAATAAGTTGAAAAGTGAATTGCATGTGAACTTGGAGAAATTCAAGATCTTGGTTTCCTGGGTTGATTTTGCATCCTTAAAATGTAAATATGAAAATTATAATGATAAAAGGGTTGAAAAATGTAGACTTATTCACGGGAAGAAAATGCAGAACTTGGGTAAACCTTCATTTAATTTGGTGGACCCTTATAAGGTGGTTTTTAATTTTTCAAAGAGAATTTTGTCTCCCATCGAGAAAGAACTTCTCTCTCTGGGGTTAGACTTCAGCTTGATGTGTGAAAAAACTAAATTTGTTAATCATTTTTTAGGTTTTGAGCAGTTATGTAATACATTGAAAACTTGCACCCTAAGGACTGGTACAAATTATAGTTGGACCAATATCATCAGTACTGTTTCTTCCCTAGCACATGAAGTCTTCAATGACTTCGATAAATACAAATCTACATTCCCTCCTTTTGATAAAAGGAAATTAGACTGTATTAATGGCTTAAAGAATGATAGGAGTATTTGTATTACTAGACCAGATAAAGGTAGGGGTATAGTGGTTTTAGACAAGTTAGATTATGTAAATAAGGTTGAAAGGTTGTTAGAAGACCCCCTCTAAATTTAAGTTGGTTGATATAGACCCCTTTTCGTATATTTTGAAATATGAGGATAAACTAAATAGAGTTTTAAGAGGTCTGAAAGACTTTCTTTTTGATTATACAAAATTGCTTGCAACTGACTCTAAGCCAGGCATCTTATATGGATTACCTAAAGTTCATAAAACAAGTATACCGATTCGTCCTATTTTATCTGCGATTGGTACTTTTAATTACAAACTGGCAAAGTTTCTGGTTCCATTATTAGAACCATTAACGCATAATGAATTTACTGTGAGAAATTCTCAGGATTTTGTAAAGGAACTTTTCCTCTTTAAATTTTGAGTTCCCAACTATAATGGCGAGTTTCGATGTTGAATCACTCTTTACTAATATTCCTTTGTTGGAAACCATTGATATTTGTGTTAATCAGTTATTTGCTGACTCTAATTTAGTGTCTGGATTTTGTAGTAAAATGTTCAGACGGTTGTTAGAATTAGCGGTTAAAGACTCTGTCTTTATGTTTAATAATATATATTATAAACAAATTGATGGAGTAGCAATGGGGTCTCCCTTAGGTCCTGCACTTGCTAATGCTTTTTTGAGTTTTCATGAAAAAAATTGGCTTGATCGATGTCCTTTGGACTTTAAACCAGTCTTGTACAGGAGATATGTAGATGACACTTTTTTGTTATTTAAGGACCAATGTCATATTGAGAAATTTAGAGAGTATCTTAATGAACAACATAGTAATATACCTTTCACTGCAGAGTGTGAAGTGGATAATTCATTGTCATTTCTTGATGTCAAAGTGAATGGGTTCAACACTAATGTTTTAAGAAAACCAACTTTTACTGGCTTAGGTTTAAATTTTAATTCTTTTGTTCCTGATATTTTTAAGAAAAATGCAATTAATACTCTACTGAATAGAGCCTTTGTTTTATGTTCAAATTGGAATAACTTTGATCAAGAAATTAATTTTCTTGTGAATTGTTTTTTAATTAATGGTTATCCTTTGCACGTGGTTTATACCTTTATAAGGAATTTCTTAAATAAGAAGTTTCATCCATCGTGTAGGATTACTACAGTAGAAAGGGATATTAAATATATTAAATTACCATTTTATGGCACTATTAGTTTTTCTGTAAGGAGTCGTTTGAGGAAACTGTTACAGCATTGTTATCCTCAATTAGACTTTAGATTTTTTTTGCCAACACAAATACCATAGGCTCTTATTTTAAATTTACAGATAAAGTGCCTACCCCCCTGTGCTCTAATGTCATATATATGTATAATTGTTCCAACTGTAATGCTGGATATATCGGAAGTTCCATTCGGAACTTTAAGATTAGGATACTTGAGCACCGGGGAGTATCTATTAGGACTGGATTACCATTGTCTAAACCAGCATTTTCGGAGATTAGAAACCATTGTTATGAGTTTAATCATTCTCTGCTGGAATCTGATTTCAAAATTCTGGACACTTGTATGAATGGCCAGTCAGATTTGAGAGTAATGGAATCCTTATATATAAAGGAGCTGTGACCTCTGTTAAATAGCATCCTTTCAGCTGTTCAATTGTACACTGTATAGTGCACAATAGGACCTGTAATTTGATTTATAGTTCATTCTGTCAGTTTAATTTTATTATAATTTTGTTTAGTTTACCATGTCTTTGCCTTTTCTTACTTATTTTAAGTCTTGACACTGTTCATTTGTATAATCTTTTTATTTAGGATATATAATAGACACTGCTGCCCAAGCTAGCGATGATGTTTTTGTGGGGAAGAAAATATAATTCCATAAGTTTGTGTCTAACCGACTATAGTTGCGCGCACATCAAGCGGGGTACTTAAAGCGCGCCCGGGGACTCGGCGACCTCTTGACCGCCTCCTCCCCAGACGACACACTACAAAACGCTCCGCCGCCATCTTGCTACACGTGAACTACGACGCCCAGTACCCCAGAAGCCTTCCACCGTCGCCTACAAGTCACGGGACTCCTGTTTGCGTGAAATCGTTGTTAGCCCATGGCGTTTCAGAGCAGCCTGCACATCGCAATTACCCTGAGGTACAGTCCTGCCCGTGTTTCCCCACCACGCTCTGCATGGGGGGCGCCCTTGTTAGTTAGGGACGTCCCCAGTGATCGGCGTGTGCCCAGCGCCGTGCCCCTTGTTGTGCATGTTGCGACGCAGTAGCTAGCTGCCTCTCAGGTTTACTTGCTCTCTCTAGGGAGCTAGCCGTGCGTGCTGTCCCTTCACGCCTCCGCGCTGTGCCCAGGCGTGCGTGTTGTCCGCTCTCGCCCAAGTGGCGTGCACGTGCGCGCTCCTCTATGCACGTGGGCCGGGGTCGCCCACGCATGGTCGCGTGGCCCATGCGGTCAGCCCTACTGGGTTCCTTGCCCTAGGGGCCCGGAAGTGCACGGCGTGCGCTGGTGCCCATGCCCGGGGTACGGCGTGGGCCACGTGGCCAGACTCCTTACGGCTTTCTTCCCTCTGGGAGCTGCCATGGGGGCCTTTGCGCGCGTCGCGCCCGGGCTGAGGGCCGCGTGGTGTGGGCATGAGTTCCGTGCCATGCATGTGTGGGTCCCCCTGCCGCGCGAGGGCGGACGGCGCCACATCTGGTGGTGTCGCCTGGGCGGCCAGGCTAGGTGTGGTCCCTGGGGCCACTGTTTTGCCCGTGGCATGGGCGCCTGGGCCACGAGGCGTGCACGTGCGGGCTCCTTAACGCCTGGGGGCTGGCGGCGCCAATGCTAGGTGGCGTGGCCCATGCGGCCAGTCCTCCTGGTTCCTTGCCCTATGGGCGTCCCTTGGGGCCTGGAGGTGAGCACGTCGTGTCCGGCGTGGCCTAGTGTCCGCGCCCGGGGACTGACGTGGTCGGCTCCTTTCGGCTCACACGTCTCTGGGGGCTGCCCTAGGGGCCTTACCTCGCCTCTCGCCCGGGCCGAGGGCCATGGGGTGTGGGCGTGCCGGGCTCTCGCCCGCAGGCCGGTGCTGCAAAAACGTTGGGGTGTCGTCCCACGTAATCAGGCACTCTGTGGCCTTCTCACTCCAGTGAGTTTGTCCCCAGGGGCCCTGGTTCTCTCACGCCCCTGTGGGCCTCCTGCGGGCAGCAACCAGGCCTGGGGGCCACGTGGGGTGCACGTGCAGGGCTTCCTCTAGGTCCCGTCCTGGCTGCTGATGTGGTCCCAGCCGATGATCCAGCAGGCGGTGTTCCAGCTGAGCATGCCCCCGGGGGCCAAGCACAGCTGCTGATGTTCCGGCGGATGTGGTCCCAGCCGATGATCCAGCAGCTGATGGCCCAGCTGGTGGTGTTCCAGCTGAGCATGCCCCGGGGGCCAAGCACAGCTGCTGAGGTTCCGGCTGATGTGGTCCCAGCCGATGATCCATCAGCCGATGGCCCAGCTGGTGGTGTTCCAAGCTGAGCACGCCCCTGGGAGCCAAGCACAGATGCTGATGTGCCGACTAATGTGGTCCCAGCCGATGATCCAGCAGCCGCAGGCTCAGCTGGCGGTCGTCCAGCTGAGCATGCCCTTGTAATTAATCTGTCATTTTGATTATTGTTAATTAATTGTTTGCAGCTGATTAATTATTATTTATATGCTGCCGGTGACCCAGCAGCTGAAGGCCCAGCTGAGCATGCCCTTATAATCAACCATTATTATTATGAGTATTGTTAATTAATTATTCGTAGCTAATAATAGCAGCCGAAGGTTCAGCTGGTGGTGTTGCAGCCGAGCATGCACAGTCACCCTCTTTATTTATATACGATTTCTGTTCTTTACATTTTGTCATTCTTTATATTCCTTTCTAATTTATGTATTATATATTGTTTGTTTGTTTCTCGGGCCAAACCCAGCTGCCGATGTGCCGGCTGACGTAGTCCATGCCGATGATCCAGCAGCTGAGGGCCCTGCTGGTAGCGTTACGGCCGCTGAGCGAGGCCCAGCTGATGGGCCAGCTGAGCATGCCCCCTGGGGGCCAAGCCCAGCTGCTGAGGTCCCAGCCGATGATCCAGCAGCTGATGGCACAGCTGGTGGTGTTCCAGATGAGCATGCCCCTGGGGGGCCTAGCCCAGCTCCGGATGTCCCGGCTGAAGAGTTTCCAACCGATGACCCAGCAGCTGAGGCTCAAGAAGGAGGTATCCAGCCGACGATGTCCCAGCTGCTGAAGTTGACATCTAGCGGTGTCCAACCGAAAATGCCGCAGCTGCAATGGTCCAGCTGCCAAGGCTACAGATGGGGTGTCCCAGCCGAGGATTTTCACGAGAGAAAAAGGGAAGAACGCATTTTCTCTCCATTCTTAATAATAATTTCGTTACAGTTCTAATTTGTCTTGTTGAGCGTAAGTGGTTCCGCAGTTCGATGCCACTTAACACCCTCTTACCTTGCCCTGTTGGCGTCCCTTAGTAGTTACCCGCTGCATAGTGATATGGACTTCCCTGCACTCTATGTAGTCTTCGGGGCATCCTGCGGTCCACTGTCTGCACTGTGTTTTAACATTGACTTATAATTTATATTATTTAATATAATTTATATTTATAAAAATATATATTATAATAATTTATAATGTATTATAAATTTTATTATATTTTATTATATATTATATTTATTTTATATATTTTCATTAATTTTATTTTGATAATTTATAATTTATATAAAAATATTTATATAAATATTATTATATATAATTTATTATTAATAATTGCCGTGCCGGTGCCTACTAACTACTTGACGCTGGCATTCATTATTTCTCTTAGTTTCTCACTGAGGAGGCGTCCGATTGTTCCAGGAGTTTGCACTTATTGTATCTGGCAGTACCATCACTAGGCTACTCAGTTACTCCCTGTCATGTTCACAGAAAATGGTACCATCCGTTTTCTATGTGCGGCGACTGAGACGCCAGAAGGAGGAGGTAAACAATAGAGCGTACAGGACGCCCGCCAAGCTTGGTAGCTACTAGTCATGTAATCATATTAAGTATTAAAGTCAGTAACCAAGTCATGACTTTACATCAACCCTACAACCAAGACTTCCTCAGTAACACACAAACACCACATTGGCGACGAGGATGAACTGTGAACGCAGGTATTTGTTCAGTTTCAAACACAAGGGAGAAGCATGCTGCCTGGAGGAGGAAGAGAAGCTGTGAGCGCCATACCCGATGCTGTATGCTAACCGATGCTGTGTGCTAACCAATGCTGTGTGCTAAACGATGCTGTGCGCTAACCGATGCTGTGTGCTACCCAAGCTGTGTGCTACCCAAGCTGTGCTGAAGAAACTGTACTGAGGAATCTGCCGACGTTGTGTACGAAACGACGCTTTGATGTGTACAAAACCTGATGTTTTGGTTACGAAACGACTCTTCGTGCTACAAAATTCATCACACTGAACTGACTGCTGTACCGACTGCTGTACCAACTGCTGCACCAACTGCTGTACCAACTGCTGCTGTACCAACTGCTGCTGTACCAACTGCTGTGCCAACTGCTGTGCTGCTGCTGTGAGTAGGAACAACACATGTACACAAGGGCTAGGTAAGAAGTCAGTTGCTGCTATATTGTGCACTGTTGTAAACTTTTGCATTAAAATGCTTGTGTGCTTTGCAAAATTAAAGTAATTACAGTGAATTCTTGACTAACATATTCAGTGCAGTAAGTGTTTAATATTCTGAGGAACATTTAAGTGATAAGTTACATTTATTCAGTAAAAATGGCAAATATACCTCAGTTTCCTGCATTTGATCCTGACTGTGACCAGACAAACCTGTCACAGAGGTGGGTCAAATGGCTTAAAAGGTTTGAAAATTTGTTGATAGTTTCTGCCATCAAAAGTGCTGAAAGAAAGCGTGCCTTTCTACTTCATTATGCAGGTGATAGAGTTTGTGACATCTTTGACACACTGAAAGACACTGGTGGTGCCAAAGATTATGACACTGCCAAAGCCAAACTAACAGAGCATTTCAAACCAAGGCAAAATACTGCAATGGAAATTATGCATTTCAGGAGAGCAAAACAACTCTCTAATGAAACTGTGGATCAATACCACACACGTCTGCAGGGTTTAGCAGCCCATTGTGAGTTTGCTGATGTTGACAAAGAAATCAAACAGCAAATAATTGAAACATGCACATCTACACGTCTCCGTCGAAGAGCTCTAGAACTTGTTGATGATGAAAGTTCTCTTACCAAGATACTGGATATTGCTCGTCGAATGGAAGATGCTGCACGTGATGCTCGTGTCATGGAGTGCAGTGCTAATAACGGTTCTGCCACTGTTACTAACAGTGATGAGGTACGTAAGGTTCAGGGAGGACACCGTGATCAAAGAAGATATCATGGCAAACCTAACAGTAAATTGAGCCGAGAACCACGTCACAACTGGGGTCAAGGAACAAGGCTCAAGCAGTCACAACGACCCACATCAGAGGGTGTCAACAATAAATGTTACAATTGTGGAGGAGACTACCCACACCAAGATAATGTTTGTCCTGCTCAAGGTAAGAAGTGCTATGAGTGTGGAAAACTAGGTCATTTTGGTGCTATGTGTCGTTCTGCACTAAAGAAACCACAGTCAATGAATAAAAGCACTGTACGAGGATCAGGTCATAGGGGTAGAGGTGGTAAACACAATATTGCACCTCATATCCAGAATGTTAATAATGTACAAGACAACATTTCATTACAACCAGTCTCAGATGACAGTGAATGTGATTATACTTATGGAGTACAAGCAATCACAGAATGGAATGATCTTCCAAACAACCCAGAGACATGTGTATACATTGCTGGTATTTGTCTCAAGGTTCTCATTGACACTGGATCAAACATTGACACCATTGCTGAGTGCCACTATGAGAAATTTAAAAAACAGTTCCCAAAGCTTGAGAACTATAATGGCAAAGCCACTGCCTATGCTTCAAAGGTAGCCTTGCCAGTGATTGGAACTTTCACTGCAGAGATTAAGTCAAAGAATGCAATGCTCATTACTACATTCCATGTTGTTAGGAATGCAAAGGAGTCTTTACTCAGTTACAAGACTTCAACCAAATTGGGGCTACTTCAGCTTTCTAATGCTGTAGCAGTGGAATCTGCAAACAATGTTGATGGTATTGTTGCTGAATTTTCTGATCGATTTAAATCCATAGGTTGTTATACTGATAGCAAAGTACATCTGCACATCAACCCAGATGTAATTCCAGTTGCCCAACCACATCGCCGACAACCATTCCATACTCGCAAGAAAGTCAATGCCGAACTGGATAGGCTGATGGAACTAGATATCATTGAACCAGTAACAGGCCCAACACCATGGGTAAGCCCAATTGTCACTCCACCAAAGCCGAAGAATCCAGATGAGATACGCATTTGTGTGGACATGCGTGTTCCCAACAAGGCAATAATGCGTGAACGCCATCCTACACCGACTGTAGATGATATGATCTACCGCTTGAATGGTGCAACTATATTCAGCAAGTTAGATTTAAACAAGGGCTATCATCAGCTTGAACTTGATGATGAGAGTCGCTTCATCACAACGTTTACGACACATCGAGGTCTGTATAGGTACAAGCGCCTGAGTTTTGGTATCAACAGTGCTGCCGAGGTATTCCAGCACATCATCAGCCAGGTATTGCAAGACATACCTAATGCTGACAACATGTCTGATGACATCATTGTTTATGGCCGTACCCAAGCTGAACACGACAAAGCTCTTCGTGCAACATTGCAACGCTTACGAGAAAAGAATCTGACGTTAAGCCGAGCAAAGTGTGAGTTCAATCAACATAAAATTGAATTCTTTGGACATGTACTTAGTGACAAAGGTCTGTCTCCAGATCCTAAGAAAGTTGCAGATATCAAGAATGCTGCACCTCCTTCAACGTCCACTGAAGCACATAGTTTTCTGGGAATGGCAAACTACTGTTCTCGCTTCATTCCAGATTTTGCTACCATTACAAAGCCTCTACGTGAGCTCCTGAAGAAAAATGCATCATGGTACTGGAACGATATCGAGCAAAATGCATTTGATGCCGTGAAAGATGCACTAGTAGAGAATGCGACTGCTGCGTATTTTGATCCATCAATGGACACTGAGTTAACAGTGGATGCTAGTCCTGTTGGATTAGGTGCTGTTTTAGCCCAACACAAACCTGGTCAACCAGATTCCCGAGTAGTAATTGCCTACGCCAGCCGTTCTCTCACAGATGTTGAGCAACGATACAGTCAGACAGAGAAGGAAGCTCTTGCTCTTGTATGGGGCTGTGAACACTTCAATGTGTATCTGCTTGGTGCACCCT